CGAACGTCTCCTTGCTACCGCGATCTCGCCCACAGGAAGCTGCGACTGCGTGGCAGCAGGGCAAATGGCCGCAGATCCAGTTCGTAACTCGAGGCGGAGTTCGCGTGTCGAGGTAAATTTTTGGGGCCGGAGCTGGTCATATCTTGAAAAATTCATAAGGAGGGGCGTTCGTAACTAGAGGTACCACTGTAAAGCCCTGTATGGCCTCGGGCCTGGGTATCTGAGCAACTGCTTGTCTTGTTTCTGCCCGCCCAGTATGTTCCAGCAGAGTGGGTGCGCTCCAGCTCCCCTCCATGAAACATTGTCATCTTGTGGGACCAAGGAAGCATCCCAGGCCTGGGGTTCGTGTTTGTTATTTGTTTAATGGCCCATTTTGTTTTGTGGATTTTGTTATTAGAGCTTTTTAGTCTAGGCCAGTGTTTCTCAACCTTGGTGGCTTTAAGCTGTGTGGACTTCAACTCCCAGAATTCCCCAGCCAGCATGGTGTAGGCTGTCTGTCTGATTTAATGTTTTGAACTGTTTTTATGTGTTTTTTTTCTAGTTTTGTACACCGCCCAGAGTCCATTGGAGTTGGGCAGCCAATAAACTTTAAGAAATAAATAAGGAAAATTAAGGAAGTTTGAAGAAGAGAAGGTTCTCCCTGACTTGTACCTAGATTCATAGGATTGGATGAGACCTTGGAGGCCCAGAACAGGAATCTTCAGACCATCCAGGACCAATGGCAGTTCAGTCTTTTCTTGAACATCTCCACTGATGGAGCACCCATGACTTCAGAAAGCTCAGTAACTCTCATAGTCAAGAAATTCCTCCTTATTTCGAGTTTGGATCTCTCTCTGTAAAGCTTCCATCCATTGGTTCTTGTCCTATCCTCAGCTGCTAGGGAGAATAAATCTACACCCTTTGCCCTGGGATATCCTTTCTTGGGTTAAAAGACTGTTCTCTTATAACTTCTTAGCCTTCTCTTCCATAGGAGAAATCTAACCAGTTCCTTTAACTGTTCTTCATAGGCTTTAACCTCCAGGCTCCTCACCATCTTCATTGCTCCTCTCTATACTCTAGTTCCTCGGTGTCCTCATATTGTGACAGCCAGAACTGGACACAGTATTCCAGGAAAGGTTTGACCAGTGCAGCATAGAGCAGAACAATCGGTTTCTATGACCTTGATAATATACCTCTATTGATTCAATCCAAGATTGCATTAGCTCTTTTGGCAGCTGCAGCACATTGCTGGCTCATTCTTCCACATTGTTCACAAGGCTCCCCCAAAATCTAGAAAAGCTTGGTGGGAACAGTTGCCAAAATATGTGAGCAGTAGAAAGGTAACCAACAAGGTTGATTTAAAAGCTTTGCAGCAATATGCACATGAAAAATGCATATGTATTGATATATTAAAAGGACGGTGAGAATGAATGACTTTCCCTGGCATTGGAAAGATAGAAATGCCTTCACTGGGAGAGAATTCCAGAACCAGGAACTAGCACTGTGAAAGTTTACTCCTTTCCATTGAACTTCCAGAAATTTAGAATCAAAGCATTTTTTGATTCCCAGCTATTCTGCCACTGTTCTAGTATCTCTGTTTCTATTGCATTCCAGGAAGTGTTGTTGTTGTCATTTAAATTTATTATAGCCGCCCAACTCCAATGGATTCTGGGTGGCATACAAAACCAATAATTTTTTTTAAAAAAATCCATAAAAACAGATAAAACTTCAAACCCTACAGACAGCCTATTTATTCCATATTGCAAACAAATGAAAGCGTTTGTACTTTGCTGTCCTTCCAAAGCAAAACAAGGAAACAGTGGGTTGCAATTCCCTTTCAAAAATATAAATTTGTAATAAAAATATACTTGCAAATAAAAAAATTGTTAAAAACAGTAATATCCCAAGAGCATAAAATTACTGGGGTATCCCCTTGCTTGATAAACCCTGTGAGGTTCTTGTTTGGTCTGCTATTTTTTCTTTTTAATAAATTTACAGACATTTCCAAAATTCTGTTTTCACTTTGTCATTATGGGGTACTGAGTGTAGATTAATGAGGAA